CTGCGCCTCAGACGCTGGTACAGGCCTGGGGGGCAGGGACCTGGGGACTCCGGCACCGGCGGGCCCCAGGCCAAGGCGACGGCGGACCGCGGCATTTTGCTGCCCTGGAGCAGCCTGGACTCCCCGTCAGGTGCAAGTCCTTCTCTCCTTCCTCCTATTTTTGCTAGGATCTTGCTACATAGTTCAAACTGCCTGAAATTCGTGGTGATTCTCCTGCCTCAGCCTCCCCTGTACTGGGACTGTATCTGTTCTTCCTGAATGCTTCTGAGCATCTGCCCTGGAGCCCTCCCCTGTGGATCTGTCTGTGGGGTGCAGCGGGTCCACCTGTAGCTCCTCCAGCCCTCCCCACCCACAGCTGATGCTCCGGGGCTGGCCGTTTCCTGACTTCCCACTTCACCATTCTGACCCTGTCCCCACCTCTGGGCCGGCAGGGGACCCTGCTTCCTGACCAGCTAGGTTCCACGGCAGGTGAGATGGCACACGCTCTGGGAGGCTGTAGCAGGAGGATCGTGAGTTAAGCTTAGTAAGAGGCTATCTCAAAAGGGGCTTGGGGAAGAGGGCCTGGGGATGCTATTGGGGAGATGCTGGGGTCGGGGCTGCTCCTCACCAGGTCTCTTCCAGGCCACTTGTCCTGGAGGCCATCCGCCCCCTAGGGATGGCCTGGCCTGCACAGCCCCTGGACTGAACCCCCGTGGGGTGACAAAGCCCAGCCTTGGTCATGAGGTAGCTCTTGGCAGTGAGTGCAAGTTGGCAGAGCCGGGGGCCTGGCACCCAGCACTCTCGGGACTCGCGGTGGGGCTGCCCTGCCCAGGTGTAGGGGCTCAGGGCCCCTCTCAGCCACCAGGGAAGTGGGAGGCCCGGGCAAGGCCAGAGGTAGAGGGTCCCGCCCCCTCACTTCCTCCCGGGAGACTGAAGGCGGAGGTGGGCAACGCCAGGTAAGGGTCTCAGGCACCCAGTGTGTGTGACACGCGCCAAAAGAGGAGCCGGGGAGGCAGCAGGCGCGACAGCCAGGCCACCTCATCCACTGCACCGGGAGCTTCGAGTGACGGATCCAAGCCTGGTCCGAAAGAGTCAGATAACTTTATTCCCTTTGGGGGGCAGCTGGGCGACGTCAGAACTTCTGGAACTGCTTCTTGGTGCCGGCCGCCTTGGTGACCTTCAGCACGTTGAAGCGCACGGTCTTGCTCAGGGGCCTGCACTCGCCCACCGTGACGATGTCGCCGATCTGGACGTCCCTGTGGGGGCAGGCAGCGGCAGGCCCTCAGGAGGGGGTCACAGGCTGACCCGGGCCCGAGCAGCCCCGAGAGGAGCCTGGGGACCACACCGGCCCTCTCTGCACTTGCAGCTGCCCGCCCTGTCCCCAGGCTCCTCTCCGGGGGCGTTTACCCCGAACATTCAAAACACCGGTAATAGGGGCTGGGGATTTAGCTCAGCGGCAAAGTGCCTGCCTGGCAAGCGCAAGGTAGTGAGTTTGATTCCTGGTACCAGAAGAAAAACAAAAAACAAACAAACAAAACATCGGTAATACACCCCATCCCAGCCCTTGCCCATCCGCACGGTGCCAGGCCTGGTCAGCGCCTGGTCGCTGTGCTCACCTGAAGCAGGGGGACAGGTGCACGGACATGTTCTTGTGGCGCTTCTCAAAGCGATTGTACTTGCGGATGTAGTGGAGATAGTCTCGGCGAATGACGATGGTCCTCTGCATTTTCATCTTGGTCACCACGCCTGAGGGGTGGGGCCAGAGATCACGGGTCACTCGGGCCTTGCTGGAAAGGGGGGCATGGGGAGCCCGGGGCATGCTGGGAATCAGCAGCTGAGCATGGGTCCCCAAACCCTTGTTTCTGGCATCAGTGTTGCCAACTGGCTTTCTCGGCAGTGCCCATGCAGGCTTCCGAAGACCATCGTGAGAACAGACATCATCTGCCAGTGCCCGAGCCCCCCTCTTCCTGTAGTTCCGGGCTGCAGTCCCCACTCACCAGACAGGATCCGCCCCCGGATGGAGACGTTGCCAGTGAAGGGGCATTTCTTGTCAATGTAGGTGCCCTCGATGGCCTGAAGGGATAAGCAGCAGCGGAGTGAGCACGGGGCAGTTCGGAACAGACCTGGGGACGTGGCCTCGGGGACAGGAACTACAACTCCCAGCGGCCCCCGCGGCAGGGACGCAGCCGCGGTCAGGGCACCTCCGCTCCCGACGTGCAGGGGCGGGGCGGTCTCGTTTCCATCCGAGGCTCTATCCTCACCTCTTTGGGGGTCTTGAAGCCCAGACCGATGTTCTTGTAGTACCGAGGGAGCTTCTCCTTGCCAGTTTCTCCCAGCAGAACGCGCTTCTTGTTTTGGAAGATAGTCGGCTGCTTCTGGTAGGCGCGCTCTGTCTGCAAGGGTGCACGAGGCCGCGGGGGAGCTTGGAGCGGGCAAGACCTGGGCTGGAAGTGACTCTCTCGGGGAGCCGAGTCCGCGCTCTACAGCGCGAGTCCCCATATCCCGCCCCCGGGGCCCGGCGGCCCGGCGTCGCGCGCTCCACGCCCCCACTCCGCGTTTGCACCCACAGAGGGCTCGGCGTCTAACCCCGGCGGCTCAGTTCCCACGCTCTAGCGCGCCTCCCCGCCACCTGCATTCACCTCCTAGGGCTCATCCACAGAAACTCTAAGGCTAAAGGTCCAAGTCAGCACCTTGTAACTCTCAAACTTTAATAAGAGTTTAACTCGTAGAACGCTTGAAATTCCACTAACATACGAGCTCGCAGGCATCAGGAGGCGCTCATCTAGTTAAAACAAACGCACGCTGTCGGCGCCCTCGCTAGTGCCCAGCAGATGCGAGACGCCCGGAGTAAACTCCAAACGGGCGCGAGGTCCTGCCCTCCCGGACGCTCCCGGGAAGCTGGGGGCGAGATCCGCGCCCTCGGCTCCAACTCCGAGCACCCACCTGAATGTCCGCCATCTTCCCGGCCGGCTGAAAAAAGAGAGAGACGCTAGCGTGCGGGATTTCTTAGCGGCCGTCCAGGGTCTAGACAGGAAGTGACGGAAGGAGGCGGGCTGACGACTGTGGGCGGTGCTTTGGGGGCGATCTTGATCGACAGGGAGCACTAACTAACCGCGCGATGCGGGGACCACACGGACGCGGCCATAATGGTGAAGGATTGAGGAGCAGAAAGCGGTGCACAGTCTCGCGAGATTTCCATCTAGCATTGCGGTCTGAGCACTAAATTAGAATGGGAGGGCGTGACATGTTATCGCGAGACTTGTAAGGAGGTCGCCATGTTTTTGCGGGGCGTATGTTCACGTGGGATTTGGCGACCGCGTGGTGGTGTAGATTTTCCTTGGACTCCAAGGGATGGTGGCGGCCATCTTCCTGTGGGATAGGGATAAGGGTTCTTGGAGCACTACGGTGCCGCCATTGTTATGAGAGGCGGGGTCTTCCCAAAATTTCAGCTTTGTCAAAGTTCCCCTTCACGCGTCCCACTTCACCCCCAGATTGTGATGGGGGGTGAGATTCTAATGGTGTTTTCCTATGTACAAGACGATAACAACTTTCCGCGAGGGTGGAAATGCTTTGTACCTCTACTATCCAGCATGCTAGCCATTGGCACTTGAAATGTGGCTTTTGCTGGTGGGCGTGGTCGCGCACGCCTGTAATGCCAGCACTGAGGAGGCTGAGGCAGGAGGATTGTTGCGAGTTCGGGACTAGCCTGGGCTACAAAGTGAGCTCAAGACCAGCCTGAACTGCATAGCAAGACCCTACCTCAAAAAGAAGAAAAATACGACTTTTGCTACTGGAACCTTATGTTTTTGTTTTCTTAGCTTTAAATTATTTATTTCCCCTTTTTGAGACTGGGTTTCACTATGGTTTCACTAAATGAGTTCAAGCCAGGCTGGTCTCCAACTCGCAGCAATCCTCCTGTCTCAGCCTCCCAAGTGCTGGGATTACAGGCATGTGCCACCATGCCCGGTCTATTAGCTTTAAATTTAAATAGGCCCACGTGGCTGATGGTTGCTGTCTTGAACACCGATCTGTATTCTTGCAGCACTGGGAATTGAATCCAGGACCTTCACACTGGGCTACATCTCCACCCCACTTTTTTAAAACAGGGTCTCTTAGTCGATAAACTGTCCCACGTTGGTCTTCAACTCGATCTCGTCTTTTAATGGATCCCGCTTTTTTTTCTTCTGGTACCGGGAATGGAACTCACGACCTTGCACTTGCCAGGCAGGCGCTGTGCTGCTGAGCTAAATCCCCAGCCCCAGATCCTACTTTTGGAATTGTACTGTTTGGTGTAGAATTGTAGTTTGATATAGAACTTTGTGCTTTTAAGTCTCTGAACAGCTAGACTCTAGTTCTGGCAGAGAAACCATCTGTTTACTGCAAACATCCGGGTACTGTGCTATCTGCACTTTTGGAAGGTTCCTAAGCCCAAGATAGTTGCCCGGGAACTGTAGCAGAACGCTGGCATCCTGTACCCTGAGATGTAGTGCAGAATACTCAGGGTGGCATCTCCCATGCTTCGTCCATGAAAAGCGGTCAGGGTCATCTGGATGGGGCCTGACCTGATGACTCAAAAACTTCCTACCAAAGGACCAAAGGTCTATGGGTGGCTCAATTAACATCCTCCATTCTAGCACCAGGACCTCTGCAGCCAGACAGTGGGGACCCACCTAAAACTGGCAATGCCATGCTGAGTTTTGGTGGGACAATACCTGTAATCCCAGCAGTTGGGAAACTGAAGCAGGAGGATCATCTCACTACAGCGAGACCTCTCACAAAAAACTGGCAATCCCATACTCTGCAGCTGAGTAGATAGCTTTACCCAACGGAATTCAGCAGCCACCACAGGCAGAGTTAAGATGTACAAGTTACACTGGGAACGGCAATGAAAGATTCCCAGAAGCCTTCCCACAGGAAGATCACTCACGTATGCAAAGATCCTGCCTGTGTAAGCCCCTTCCCTGGTGAAAGGCCCACATTTCACGGGGCTGCCTCCACAGCACACATGCAAGGACGCCACATTTGTTTAAAAATAATTTATTTTGTTTCTGGTGACAAAGAGGGAAGGGCGAGGGCCGGGCTACAATATCTTAGCTGTGCGCCCCCTGCCATCCCACAGCTGCAGAGTATGGCACTGCACCACAGGGGCAGAGGGGAGGGCCAGGGCGCCCCAGCAGTGTCTTTCAACACTGCAAGCAAAATAGCCAGCAGTCCTATGGCTTCTCTAAGGCTCTCCTGGAAGGAGGCTAGAAATTCCATCATACAAGACTTAACACTGCTCAGTACCCTCATGGAAGACCTCAAGGAGAGACAGACTAAGCTGCCTTGTTTATCCCCTGCTCTGGGCCCCAGGACGCCTGAGACACCTGGAGAGCGGCCCGGGGCCCCCACATCCCAGGGCGGCGCTGGAGGAAGGGCAGGCCAGGCTAAGCAGTGAGGCAGAAACAGTCTTTATTGGGCTCAGACCAGGAGTCCGTGGGTCTTGAGGACCTCTGTGAACTTGCTGATTTTCTTCTCCACGTTCTTTTCCGCCTGTTTCCGCAGCCTCTGTGGGGACAGGGACGGCTGGGGGTTAATGGCTGCCCTGGGCTGCAGCCATCAGCGGGGCAGTGCAGCTGAGAAGCGGCCTCACCATGATCTGCTTCTTCTTCCTGTAGTGAATCTTGGCCTTCTCCTTCCTCTTCTCCTCCAGCGTGGCTGTCACCGCCTGGTACTTCCAGCCGACCTCATGAGCCAGGCGGCCCAGGTAGGCGAACTAGAGGAAAGGCACTGTGAGGCCGGCGGGTGGGAGGCCCGGCCTCCAGCCCACACTCACAGGAGGTGGAAGCACGGGCACAGCTTAGTGTGAGCCTCAGGCCCACGGCCGCCCCCCAAGTGCAGGGACACCTTAAGCCCTCAGAGCTCACACTGGGGCTACCTGCGAGGGTGTCTGCCTCTGTCAGCCCAGGAGAGGCCCCCCCACCCCGGGTCCAGCCCCCTCACTGCTGGCATCAGCTGAGCCTTTGGCGTTATCGGCACTGCCCACAGTGGCATCCGCAGACCATCGTGAGAAAAAGCCATCATCTGCCAGTCTTGGGGACCAAACGTCACCCTGCCAGGAGGACCCAATCCCTAGACGCAGTGTAACTTGGCACTCACCTTCCTTGTGGGCTTCAGGCGCACAACCTTGAGGGCAGCGGGAACCACCATCCGCTTTTTCTGTGGGGAGACAGCGAGCTCAGAGGGCTGAGGTGGGGACTGGGGACAGGGCTGCTGGTGCGGGCGTCTCAGCCAATGCTCTTTTTCACGAGGCTCAAACAATGTAGGTAACTGTGCAACATCACAGACGCCAGGGGAAGACAGGTGCCGGGGCCAGGCTGGCTCACCTTGTCATAGGGCGGCGGGACCCCATCGAACACCTTGAGGCGGTCCAGGGCTGCCTGGCCTCGCTTGGTCTTGTGGGGCAGCATCCCTAGGGACAGAGAGATGGGGCTCCAGAGGGGGCTCGCAGCACGCCCGCCTTTCCTCCAGGGCCAGCTCCGTGGCCTCAGATGGTAGTGCATGTGGAGTCTTCTCATGGTCAGGAAACTCGAACACGAGTGGGAGACATCCTCATCACTGGCCACCAGCCCCGCCGCCTGGCCGCCCCGGCCGCCACCTAGCTCACCTCGCACAGTCCGCCAGAAGATGCGGCTGGGGGCCCGGAAGTGGTAGGGGCCGCGAGACGGGTTGGTGTTCATCCGCTTGCGGAGGAAGGCCAAGTACTTCACTGGGGGGAGAGCAGAGGTCGCCTGCCTGGTCTATCAGACCTGACAGCCCCCAGGCGACCCCAGAGCCCCAGGGTCTTCCTGCTTTCACATGGAGGGGCCTCAGCCCCTGCGGGGAGACCCTTTGCAGCAGTCATCCGGGGCTCTAACTTACACTTGTTTCTGTAGAAGTTGCCAGAAATGTTGATGCCCTCACAGCGCACAACTACCACCTTGCGGCCTGGTGGGAAGAAAGTGAGGTGTTTGGGGAAAGCACTCATCCCCAATCCCTTCCGAGCTGGGTCCTCAACCCAGGGGGGGCCCCTGCTGGCAGGTCTCAGAGCGGTGCATGGGGTTGATCTCATGGTCGCGAGACTCAAACGAAAGATGGTGATTGTTGCTCATCACAGAACCCCAGGAGGAGCTGAAGGCAGGGAGAAGTGAGCAGAGAAAACTTACCCAGCAGTACCTGCTTGGCCACGATGGCCGCCAGGCGGCCCAGGAGATGGCCTCGGCCATCCAGCACCAGGACCTGTAGGAGACAACCCAAGAGGCGGTAAGAGTGACAGTCAGAGTACCGGCGCCGGACACCCCTACCTTACCCAACTGGCTGTCAGACCCAAACGGGATCACTTACAGCTAAAGAAACTCCCACCAAGGAAGCAAAGGTGGAGCTGGTGCCAGTGAGCTAAGACACCAGTAACTCCCAGCTCAGATGCTTGGAAGGCAAGAATGGACAGGATTCGACGCAACTGTAAAAACTGTCCCCAATCATCCAGCTGTAAAAACTACAGTCATTTGTGTCATGAATTATGAACAAAATGTAGTTTCTTTTTGTTGTTTTGTTTTTATCTTTTTGAGACAGGGTCTCGCTATGCAGTTCAGGATGGCCTTGAGCTCAGTTTGTAGCCCAGGCTGGTCTCAAACTCACAAGGCTCCTCCTGCCTCAGCCTCCCGAGTGCTGGGATTACAGGCGTATGCCACCACGCCCAACACAACATGTAGTTTTTACCAGAGTCTGTTTTTGGTTTCTTGAGATAGGCTCTTGCCATGTTGCCCAAGTCAGCACACACCTGAGCTCACGTTGCTCCTGCCTGTTTCCCCAGTAGCTGGACTGCAGACGAACCTCACCACACCCAGCACTCCCAGGAATTTCTTAACTACGGAGAAAGACTAGTCCACAGCCCAAGCTGCTTCTAGGTCCCCAGGAAACCTGCACAAGCTGCGCCTCACCCAGAGCAAGGTTCTCACTGTAACCCCTTAACGTGCAGCATAACACAGTAAGGTAACAGTATGTACTGCAGTCGCTTTGATTGCTGGAGGCAGCGCACAAAGGTACAAAATGCAAAGCCACACTTCCTTTAGAGACCTTGGCTATAAAAACCTTTCCACCCTCACATTTGGCCACCTGTAAAAAACGGGGCTGGCATCCCAGCACTCGGGAGGCTGAGGCAGGAGAATCCTTGTGAGTTCGAGACCAGCCTGGGCTACAAAGTGAGCTCAAGGTCAGTCTCAACTGCAGTGAGACCCTATCTCAAAAAGAAAAGACTGGCACCTGCCTCGGGACTGTTTAAGAAGCGACCTTCAACCAAACCCCAGGAGCACGTGCTGGTGGTTCCGCTCCTCACCCCAAAGAAATACGTAGAGCAACTCACAAGGAAAACCTGCCCGTCCTCGCCCTCTGCACACGGCACCTCCACGGCGAGGCAGGGGGCTGAAGGCTAAGCCGCTGCTGTTTCCCAGGGCCCCGCGCTGGTTTTAAGTCCCGTCCCGGAGTCTTTACCACAGCGCTCTGATTCCAGGCGCAATGCGCCTTCAAGGCGTCCACCAACCCCACGATGAGAGCAGAAGAGCCACCCACTGCCGCCCAGGCAGCAGACAACCGCTTCCCCGAGCCGCCGCGGGCCAGGGCCTTCAAGGCAACACCAGGCTCTGCACGGGGACCCGACTAGCGCTCCCACGTTAAGCCGAAACAGCTGCGTCCACTTTGGCCAGTTCTCGGCGCCACGACGGCAGCCACTCGCGCGTCGGCGCCGCTGGGTCACACAAGGTAACACCTCATTCGTTCCGCCAGGACCCGACCGGCAGGGCCGACAGCACGCGAGATCAAGTTGTAAAAAAAAGCACTAACGCCCCCCGGGCTGGCACTCCCGCCCTGACTGCCCACCTCCGAAAGGAATACGTTTTAAGTTCGCCCGGGACCCAAGCACAGCAAGTTTCCCCTAAGCCACGTTACAGGTTTTCCTCACGTCAAGCAGCCCCACTTTGTTGAAGTGTCACCTATAAATTTCACAACACAGCAGAGAAAAGAGGACCCAACTCCGTCCCCTTTAGGATCCCACACGACCCCATGCCGCCCCAACGCGCAGAGAGCCGAACCTGCCCCTCCGCCATCTTCGGCAGCCGCCTGGGAAAGGAGGAAAGGTTGGCGCAGGGTTTCTTATCCTTTGCTTCAGGGGTGGAGGAAGTGACGCAACCTACGCGGCGCAGATACCCTTCTGTCTTTTCATTGGCCGTGGTGCTTCGCGCGTGCGTAGAGACAACTCATTAGCTGGCGGGCCGTTCTCAGATTGTCCAATCCGAGGAGCAGGCCTTGGCAGCCATGGTTGTGCGGGGCGACAGATCACGTGGGACACGGGGCGGGGCTGCTGGGGCGGGGCCGTCTAGTTTTGGCCGCCATATTTATGAGGGGCCTCTAATCCACTCCTTTTGATCTGTCCGCCATGTTTTTGAGGGAAAGTCCCATAACTCCCTCTAGCGACTGAAGGCTGCAGGATACTTGGTGGCCCGCAGGGGGCGAGCCGACCTGCTTGTGCCGTCTCAGGCTAGGCTTGGAGGGCTGGATCCCCTGGGTTCACTGAACCCTGGACAAATCCCATGACCCTGGCTGGGCCTCAGCGTCCGCAGGTCTGAAACAGGCGGAGGAGGTCGCTTTCCTGAAGTCTGGGAACAGATTCAGGGGCGACTCTCAAAGGCCTGGTTGCGACATCTGCGGAGGCTACGCTACTGAGCATCTCGCTTTCTAGACTCGTGGGTTTTGCTTGGAAGGTCTTGTTGTGTATCCCAGGCTGACCTCAAACTCCCTGCGCTCCTCCTGCCTCAGCCTCCTGAGTGCTGAGATTACAGGCGTGCGCCACACGCCTGGCCAGCATTCTGTCTCCTGCGTGGGATGACCTCCCTCCCTCCCCCCTTGCCCCTCTAGTATCCGGCTGGTCACAACCCCCTGCCCTTTGGCGTAAGAGTCCCTTCCTCCAGAGCTTCCCCACGCTGCCTCCCTTAAGGGGCCTGGTTCTCCGACCCTTGGCTTTCAGATCCCAGATCTGCATCAAAGACCCAGATCCTTGCTGGTCGTGGTAGCTCACGCCTGTGATCCTAGCATTCAGGAGGGATTCTGAGGCAAGAGGATCGCCTTGATTTTGAGGCCAGCCTGGGTTTGGGCACACGCCCAGCCTGAACTGCACAGTGCGAAGCTATCTCAAAAAACAAAACAAACAAAAAAGGAAAAACAAAAAACTGACCCTATGCCAGTCCAGGCTGGTTTTCCTTCAGATCTGGGTTCTGGCATTGCCCAGTGCTAGCCCTGGGTCCCAGAAGTCCACAGAAAACAGGAACGGAAGCGGAGCATGATGGTGCACCCCTGTAATCTCACTTGAGAAGCTGAGACAGGGCGATGGATCACAAGTTCAAGGCCAGCCCCGACTACCTCACATGACCTGTCTCAAACAGACGAACAAAAGAAAAGAAAAAAGAGAAAAAAAAAAGACAGAGAGAAAGAAAGACGAAGGAAAGGAAACACTGCATCAAAACTGAAAAACCAAAGTCGAAACAGCACCGTCCGTGCCCTGTCCCTTCCACAGACAGGCCGGCCAGAGCTGGTAGAAAAGAACGATTTATATACAGGTTTCTGAGGACAAGGGCTTTGTACAGCGAGGGGTGAGCGGGCCGGGGCTGCGTCCTGGCGTCGCCTCTGTCCTGGGAAGAGGGCCAGAGTGGCAGCAGCGACGAGGGGGGCGGCAGCCTGCGGCCAACTTCCGCTGTGCCCGGCGCGTCCTCTGGCAGGTGACTCCTCTGCCGGGCTGTGTCCTCCTCTGTGAACAGGATGACAAATGCGTCGGCCTCGGGGGGCCATTTGCAGGTCAGCGGAGGAGGACAGGGAGAGCGGCCTCTGCCTCAGAGCTGTTCACCTGCTAATAGGGAAGCCCCCGCCACGGGTGAACCCTGAGCCCTTGAAATGTGGCCAGTGCCAACTGAGGAGCTGAATTTTAAATTTCACCTAATTCTAACTAATTTTGCTGGGTGTGATGGTGCACACCTATAATCCCAGCACTTACTTGGGAGGCTGAGGCAGGAGGATGGCTAAGTGTTCAAGGCCAGCCTGAATCACAGAGCAAGACCCTGTCTCAAAAATAATAATAAATAGGGCCGGGGATCTAGCTTAGTGGCACAGTGCCTGCCTGGCAAGTGCAAGGTCCTGAGTTCAATTCCTGGTACCAAAATAATAATAATAATAATAGTAATAAATATTTATTGGTATTTCTTTTCTTTTCTTTTTTTTTTTTTTTTTTTTTGCTTTCTGAGACAGGGTCTCACTATGCAGTTCAGGCTGGCCTTGAGCTCACTTTGTAGCCCAGGCTGGTCTCGAACTTGCAACGACCCTCCTGCCTCAACCTACCGTGCTGGGATTACAGGCGTGCACCACCACACCCGGCCCTTTATTGGTATTTCTGATAAAAATCTGTTTTCTTCCTAGGAGGCTAAGGTAGGAGTTTGAGGCCAGCCTCGACTACACAGTGTGATTTGTCTCAAGTGTTACTTGAAGTGGGATGTGGTGGCACAGGCCTGTAATTTCAGCACTCAGGAGGCTGAGACAGGAGGATCTCAGCAAGTTTGAGCCCAGCCTGAAATAGTTAGACCCTGTCTCCTCTCCTGGTGGGTGGGCGCATGGGGTTTGTGCCATTTAGGGCTGGGAAACTAGCTCAGTGGCAGAGCACTTGCCTGGCACATGTAAGGCCGTGGTAATAAAAAAAGTACAAATAAGAAACAAGACAGGCTGGTGTCAAATATTGGTTGTCCCTCACAAGCTGTGTAGCTTTTGGTAAACAATTTGCCTCTCTGTGCCTTGGCTTCCAACTGTGGAGTGGGGGTGATGATGGCACCACTTTTCAATGAAGTGATTATCCTGGAGAGTTGCAGCACCAGGCTAGGTCCTGAGGTGCAGTTCTTGTTAGAGCCTGCGGCCCAGGGACCCCCGGGGCCTCCTATCCTGGCCCATGACAGTTTCCAAGTGCTCCTCCTTCCATGTGCTTGGGGGCTACTCCCTCTCTGCTGGCTGACGTTACTGGGGCTCCCTGAGCTTGTACACCTGAGAATTGAGCAAAGCAGACCCCTCCAATTGTTTTTAAATTTTTTCGGCACTGGGGACGGAACCAGGGCCTTTGCACTGAGCTACACTTCTGGACCTTTTTATTTGAACAGAAGGTCTTTCCAAGTCACTAAATTGCCCAGGCTGTGCTCCAACTGTGACCCTCCCGCCTCAGCCTCCAACGCTGGGATCACAGGCAGGTGCCACCACACTGCTCCTAGTCTAGTCTCGTTGTGTCTTTCTGCTCTCCCCCTGCTCACAGCCCCCTCCACCATCCCCTCAATACCCTCACCCAAGCCCAGGGTCTGCGCAGGCGCCTCAGGCCGCAGGGAGCGGAGGACTCACCAGGACCAGGCATCGGGTGGCTCGGCACTAGACCGGCAACACGTCCTGGGGCCTGTGGGGAAGGGGCGCCTGAGGCCCCCCGTGGGGTCAGCCCCAGGCCGGTGCCGGGGCCTCCAGCGCCAGCCCCTCCCTGCTTCCACCCCGCCCCAGGCTCCAGGGGAAGGGGTGTCCTGTACCTTTGCCCCAGCCGCCATCTGAGCAGATACCAGACAGCGGCCGGCAGCAGCAGGGTGGGCGGCAGCAGCAGCAGCAGGAGGAGGAGCGGGGACTGGGATGCCGGGGCCGGCAGCTCTGTTGCCTCTTGGGCCCCTGGACTTGCTGGGGGCAGTGCTGTGGAGGGCTCTGCAATGACAGCACAGAAGAGAGGCCTGCCTGGCCCTGGCTGTGTGACCTGGTGTGGAGGGCAGGCTCTCTAAAAGAGCATGGTGCCGGTCTCACGCCTGTAATCCCAGCACTTGGGAGGCTGAGACAGGAGGATCATTGCGAGTTCAAGATCATCCCGGGCTACAAAGTGAGCTCAAGGCCAGCCTGAACTAAATAGCGAGACCCTGTCTCAAAAACGCCAAATAAATAAATAAATAAATGAGCATGGTTGCACGCCTGTAATCCCAGCACTAGGGAGGCTGAGGCAGGAGAATCGCTGAGAGCTTGAAGCCAGCCTGGGCAAGCTCAAGGCCAGCCTGAACTGCATATTGAAGCCCTGTCTCAAAAAGACAAAAAGGAAATAAATAAATAAAAGAGCATGGTGGGTATAACCCACTTGGGCCTCCCTTCCTCTCTTGGACAGAAGCTTTCTTTTCTTTCCCTCAATAAATATATTCTGCTCTTAAAAAAAAAAAAGTCTGGCGTGGTGAAGCACGCCTGTAATCCCAGCACCCAGGAGGCTGAGGCAGGAGGATCGCTGAGAGTTCAAGACCAACCTGGGCTACAAAGTGAGCTCAAGACCAGCCTGAACTGCAGAGCAAAACCCTGTCTCAAAAAGACCAAAAAAAAGGGGCTGGGGATTTAGCTCAGCAGCACAGCACCTGCCTGGGAAGCACAAGGTTGTGAGTTTGATTCCCGGTATCGGACACCCCCCCCCCCGAAAAAAAAGACCATGGTAGCCCAGGGCTGTCATCCTAGCACTGGGGAAGCTAAGGCAGGAGGATTGTTTCAAGTTTGAGACCAGCCTGAGCTACAAAAGGAGTTCAAGGGAAGCCTGAAGTGCATAGCAAGACCCTCTCAAAAAGACAAAAAAAAAGAGACACCTCCCCCCAGAAAAAAGTTTATATGTGTGTGTGTGAGACCAACAGTATGATTAAATTGTACCTAGTGGTAGGAAATAAATAGATGTTTTGTGTAATAGGATCAGAGTTATATTTGAGTATGAATCTATGTATAAGGACCAGGGAGATAGCTCAGCAGCACAGTGCCTGCCTGGCAAGCTCGAGGTCCTACATATATCCTTTTTTTTGGTACCAGGAATAGAACTCAAGACCTTGTACTTGACAGGCAGGTGTTGTGCCCCTCAGTTATATCCCCTGCCCTATATTCTAGATAGAAATTCTACATAGAATATTGTAGTTAGAATATGTAAATATTCTATCATTGCTGTCAGCTGGGCGTGGTGGCTCACGCCTGTAATCCCAGCACTTGGGAGGCTGAGGAAGGAGTATCGTTGCAAGTTCAAGGCCAGCCTGGACTACAAAGTGAGCTGAAGGGCAGCTTGAACTGCATAGCAAGACCCTGTCCCAAAAAGAAAAAAAAAAAAAAAAAAAAAAAATCTATCACTGTTGTCATAGTGTTTTTTTTTTGTACTGGAAATCAAACTGAGGACCTTGCACTTGCCAGGCAGGCGCTTATGCCACTGAACTACATCCCTGGCCCTGTCATAGTTTTTTGGTTTGTTTGGAGACAGGGTCTCACCATGTAGTTTAGGCTAGGCTTGAACTCACTATATAGCCCAGGCTGGCCTGAACTCACAGCGCTCTTCCTGCCTCAGCCTCCCGAGTGCTGGGATTACAGGTGTGTACCACCATGCCTGACTCCAACTTTAATAAATACAAAAAGTTGAGTTTTCACAGGGCATTGTCTTTCATCATATGCTGATAAAATTACCTTCATTTTGATGGTATAGTACCGGGCTGTCCAGCAGAGCAGCCATTTGCCCCATGTGGCTGTGGAACGCCTGACCTATGGGAAGTTTGCCTGAGACATACTGTACCGGGCCGGGGATATAGCTCAGCAGCACAAGCACCTGCCTGGCAAGCACAAGGTCCTGAGTTCAATTCCCGGTACAAAAAAAAAAAAAAAAGACACACTGTACTGTAGAGCTAGGCATAGTAGCACACATGTAATCCCAGCATTCCAGGAGGCTGAGGCAGGGGGATCACAAATTCAAACCCAGCCTGGGAAACTTAGCAAGCCTCAGTCTCACAGGGAGAAACAGGGAGGAAGGGTTTGGGGGCTGAGGAGAGAGGGAAGCAGAGGTTTAGGGTGGTGGGCAAGGGGCTGGGGCTGTTACCAGGCTGGCACCGCAGCTCCAGGCACTGAGAGAAATTCCTGCGGGTGATCCAGTGCTTCATGGCTTCCAGCTGAGCCACAGTGTCCTGCAGGAGGTGGGAGATGTTGGTCTGGACGAAGCGAAGGCAGCTGGGGAGGGGCTGAGGGCAGGGGGGAGAGGTCAGGACCTGCCCGCTTCTCCTTGGGCCCAGGGTGAGGTGCGGCTGCAGAGCTCAGGCCCTGCTCCCTGGCTGCTGGGCAGAGAGGCCTTAGCAGTGCCCTTCGTCGGGGTCCAGGAAGGGGCCCAGGCCCCTTACCCTCTTTCAGGGACTATAGATGTGTTTTCCCCCAGCAACAGCGTCCCCAGGGACTTCAGGGAGCGGGGTCCAGCTCTACCACCCCTGGGAGCCCAAAGAACCCTGCAGGGAGGCCCAGGAGAGCGTCTCTGCTGAGGCCAGCAACAGCATCCCTCACTTGTCCCTGAGTTCAAGACTCACCTGGAAGGCACACAAGGTGACAAAGTGTATCTCCGTGTTGGCGGCCTCCAGGAGCTCCTGCATCTTCAACCCCGCCACCGTCTTGAGCTGCTCCATCCAGCGCTGGGCCAGCACCAGGTGCCAGAGCTTCCCGCAGAGTTGCTCCTGGGAGAGAGCCAGGCCCGGGTCAGGAGGGGAGCCCGGACCCCGGGGCTGAGCAGTGCTGACTGTCACCCACCAGCCTGGTCCCGCAGGTGCTGTCACTGCAGTCCGCGCCCCACCTCCCTCCCGGGCCCCTCCCGGCGGACTCACGTCCTGCAGGTTGGCGGCCAGCGTGACGGGGTAATCCTGGAGCAGGTACTCAGACTGCAGGCGAAAGCAGGGCCAGGCCTGGCTCAGAACTGGGGTAACCAGAACTACGGATCTCAGAAATGGAGGCAGAGACTGAGAGAGGGGTGGGGGAGGTCCTGGGAGGGGTGACAGGCTCAGCCCGGAACTCCACAGCCCGGCTCCCAGGGCCGGCAGGGGCTGCTCACCAGCTTGTTGAATTTGTCTTTGAAGTTGGAGGAGATGGGGTTGTGGGGGAAGGAGCAGCTGGGGGTCCCGAGCAGGCTGGGGCTCAGCAGCAGCAGCAGCAGCAGGGGCAGCGGCAGCGGGGCGGACTGCGGGAGCCGGGCCGTCAGCGGCGCGCTGCCCTCGGCCTCCCACCCATTGCCGGCCCCGGCGTCTGCTCTCTGCCTGTGCTCGCCGCCGGCCGGCGTCTCATCGCGGCCACCTTCCCCGCCCCGCTGCACCTCTCGCTTCATGCGTCCTCTGCCCCGCATGCCCCCACTGCGGTCCGCACCCAACTCCTGCCTGCCTCCTCCACCTCCGTCCACCTCCTCCACCTCCGTCCACCTCCTCCACCTCTGTCCACCTCTGCCCATCTCTGTCCACCTCCGTCCACCTCTGTCCACCTCCGTCTACCTCCTCCACCTCCGTCCACCTCCGTCCACCTCTATCCACCTCCGTCCACCTTCGTCGACCTCCGTCCACCTCCTCCACCTCCGTCCGCTCCCGCCTCCCTCCGCAGCCTCGCGCATCCCGACGCCGCGCCCCCGCGGTGCCCAGGTGTACGCACCACCGTTGGTCTCCAGGCTGGCGCCAGCACTGTCATCGCGCCCCGGGGCCCCTCATGCCTGTGGCCGCGTCTCGGAGGGGACAGAAGAGCTGGTCTCGGACAGGCGCCCGCCGCCCCCTCCCCGCCCGCCCCCTGGCCTCCCCGCCCCTGCCGCGCGCCCTTGATGTGGCTGGGTTTCCGCACCCCGCACCCCCCGGCTTCCTGCGTGAGCCCCAGTTACGGCGAAAGCTCATTGCCCCTTCCAAGAACCGGCGTCCGCCCCAGCGGCTCCCGGCCGGGACCCGGCGCCCGGGCCCTGCCCCCCGCCGCACCCCGGCCCGGGAGCTGCGGCGGAGACCCCGGCGCCGCCCCTCGGGGACCCGGAGTCCCATTCCCCTCACGCACCAGGCTCGCCCCGGCTGGGTGTGGAAGGGCCAAACTGGGTGACAGCCAGGGATCGAAAGTAAAAGGGAATTTTGGGGGGAGTCAGCGAGCAGGGGTGAAATGGGGCGGCGGCGGCGGCGCCCCCTCGCGGTGACAGCGGCCTCGAGGGTCCTGGCCTGGACGGCGCGCACCAGGGGGCGGCGGGGTCGCGGGCTCGCGGGGCCCCGAGCGCGGCCGTCCAGGCAGCGCCACCTTTGAGATGTGTCCAAAACTTCAATCTCCAAATCTCAGCCAGTTCTCGCCACCCCAACGGCCGTGGTCCAGGTCCTGCCCCGACCCATCTCTCGGGAGCCACAGCGGTCCCCTCCCCTCTGGGCGCCTGCCTCATCCCTGACCCCAGGCGCTGCTCATGTCCCTCCGGTGGCGCCCCCTCACTGGGCGTAAAAGTCCGAATACCCCTCGTGCAGCAGGGTGCACCCTGCGCCCTCCTCCCTCGCCCCCTGTCCCCGCCTAGCCAGCCCCGCCTCTGGGCCTCCTCGCTGGGTCTGAGGTGCGCAGATTCCGGACCCAGGACCTTTGCACCTGCGGTTTGCACACCTTGCCCCCAGGTGCCCACAAAAGCAGCCCACCCGCCTCTCACTCAAGCTTTTGCAGAAACGAGAAAGCACAAGAAACAAAGGACACCTGACACCCTTTTCAAGCTGCACGCGCCCCCAGCGCCGCGGCTCCCCCTGCCTGGTACTTATCGGCTCCTAACACACCGTGTGGTTTACTTATCTTCTTCATTGTCATTTGTCTCCATGGGGACACCAGCTCGAGGAAGTCCTGGTGGGTATGTGTTGTGACTCCCCAGCACCTAGAGCTATGCCCGGCTAACAACTGCTCCACCAAATTTTTTTCCCCCAGTACTGGTGATTGAATCCAGGTCCTTTGCACTGAGCTACACCCCCAACCCCTTTTTTGTTTTTATTTTTGTCTTTTTGAGACAGTATTTCACAGTGCAGTTCAGGCTGGCCTTGAACTCACTTTGTAACCCAGGCTGGCCTTGAACTCAAGTGATACTCCCGCTTCAGCCTCCTCAGGGCTGGAATTAAGGTGTGCACCAACATGACCCCTTTTATTTTGGGGTTTCTTTTTCTTTTTGGTACTGGGAATCAAACTCAGGACTTTGCACTTGCCAGGCAGGTGCTGTGCTGCTGAACTGTATCCCTGGCTCCCCTTTTTATTTTTATTTTTTGTTTTGTTTTGGGTTTTCTTTTTTTCCGGTACTGGGAATCGAACTCATGACCTTGCACTTGCCAGGCAGGCGCTGTGCTGCTGAGCTAAATCCCCAGCCCCTCCCCTTTTTATTTTTAAGGGTCTCTCTACATTGCTAAATTGCCCAAGCTAGGCCTGAAGTTGAATCCTCCTGTCTCAGCCTCCCATCGCTGGGGTTACAGATGTGTGCTACCATGCTCAGCTCACAAATGTTTGTTGAATGAATGCACAAGTGAGTCTGGCCCATCTCCTTTCTCCCCTCTGTTGTATAACAGAGGACACGGCTGGTCTTGGCCCTGGTAAATTCTTGGAATTTCCTAACATTAGAGGTATCACTGCTTCCTGGTCACACCTCCACACCTGGGTTCCTGCAGCGGTGCCTTTGGAAAGTGGCTGGGTGTGCCTGGAAGACAGGTTATGAGATTAGATTCCAGCCTGAGCCTGGGAAGGACAGGAGATTACACCCACCTAATGAAGCCCCAGCAAAATTTTTTTTTTCTTTTTTTCATCTTTTTGAGACAGGGTGTCATGATGCAGTTCAGGCTGACCTTGAGCTCACTTTGTAGCCCAGGCTGGTCTCGAACTCACAAGGATTCCCCTGCCTCAGCCTCCCGAGTACTGGGATTACAGATGTGCACCACCGCACCTGACTTGGAAAAAAAAATTTTTTTTTTAAAAATTTCTACTGGAGCCAGGTGTGGTGGCACACGCCTGTAATCCCAGCACTCGGGAGGCTGAGCCAGGAGGATCGATGCGAGTTTGAGACCAGCCTGGGCTACAAAGTGAGCTCAAGGGCAGCCTGAACTGCATAGCAAGACCCTGTCTCAAAAAGACAAACCAAAACAAAACAAAAGAATATGTAGTCCATGCTGGCCTTGAACTCACGATGTAGCCCAGCCTGGCCTGGAGCTCATAGCAATCCTCCTTCAGCCCCCTGAATAGCTGGGACTACAGATATGGACAACTATACAGTTGTGATCTGTATTCTTTTTTTTTTGAGACAGGGTCTTGATACGCAGTTCAGGGTAGCCTTGAGCTCACTTTGTAGCCCAGGTTGGTCTTGAACTCGAAACGATCCTCCTGCCTCAGCCTCCAGAGTGCTGGGATTACAGGTGTGCACCACCACACCCAGCCTATGATCTGTATTCTTTACAGTGAAACTGTGGCTGTAACTGCAGCACTTTCTGGAGGTTATTATTTTTTTTTTTTTGATTTTTTTTTGTTTTGGGCTATGTAGTTCAGGCTAGCCTCAAACTCATGGAGATCCTCCTACCTCAGCCTTCCAAGTGCCGGTATTATAGGGGTGTGCCACCATGCCTGACATTTTTGTGAGTTCTGGAGGCCATGGCAGCTCCTGAATTTGTACTCAGTTGATTAGAAGTGCAGGTGACCTGAGGACCCCTAAGGGGCTTCTAAAATGAGGGAAAGGTTGTGGGGGTGGCACACTCAACCCTTGGGAGGAGAGCACCACCACTGAACTGGGGTACTGTGGGCTGAGACTTCACTCTGCCACCTGCTCATGCTGGGGACTTGGCAGGGTGAGGCAGGTGTATTTCTGGCCAGCAGATGCCCCAAGGTCATGGCAGAAATGGTGATTCCATTGCGGTTGTATAATGCCACTTGATTTATTTATGTCTTTTTGAGACAAGGTCTCACTATGCAGTTCAGGCTGGTCTTGAGCTCACTTTGTAGCCCAGGCTGGCCTCAAACTCAATGATCCTCCCGCTTCCGCCTCCCAAGTGCTGGGATTACAGGTGTGTGCCACCATGCCCGGCTTAACGCCACTTTAAAATGAAGACACTAAACTGGGCTTGGTGGGGCATACCCGTTATCCCAGCACTCTAGGAGGCGGAGGCAGGAAGATCACAAGTTCAAGCCCAGCCTGGGCAATTTAGCAACTCAATGAGATCCTATCTCAAAAGAAAACAACAACAGAAGAGGGCTGGGGATACAGGTAGGTGGAAAGGCCCTGGGTGCTGGCCTCACAACCCAGCACAAGCCATGAAATCATCAGGCCTACTTGGTCTCAGGCCCCACGGCCCCTGGGGCCTCCAGCAGCAGGAGCCCAAGTCCGCCCACAGTCCTGGCACTGCTGCCCGTTCTCACCCTCCTGGTCGAGGGCTGTGCTAGCTTCCTGTGGCTGATGTGACACATGATTAGCTTGGTGGCTTTGAGCAACAGACATTTATTCTCAACGGGGCCCGGGGGCTGGAGCCAAAGCCAAGGTCCCAGTGGGGCCGCCCTCCGCCTGCGGGCTCTGGGGCAGGAGTCCCAGTGATTGTCCCGGCTTCTGGTGGCTGCTGGCATCACCGCTGATCTCTGCGTCAGTCTTCCCATGGCTTCCTACTCTGTCTCACAGGACCCTTGTGACTGAGTGCAGGTGGGTGGGGCTTCGCCCTGCCCAGGGTGATATCATCTCGAGAACTTGAATGTGGTTACATCTGCCAAAACCTGTTTGCCAGGTACAGGCTCCCTCATAGCTTCCAGGGAATGGGATGTGACACGTCTCCTTGGGACTAGTCAACTCACTACAGGCCCCCAGGATTCCCTCCTGTGGCAGGGCCTTTGCCTGTCCTTGCTGGATGTTGTTTTTCTTTTTGAGACAGGGTCTTGCTGCATAGTTCAGGACGCCCCTGAACTCACTATGTAGCCCAGGCTGGCCTCAAAATTGCAGCACTCCTCCTGCCTCAGCCTCCTGAGTGCTGGGATTAAAGGCATGTGCCCCTGTGCCTGGCTTTGTTTTGTTTTTTTGAGACAGGGTCTTCCTATGCAGTTTAGGCTGGCTTTGGACTCAGTTGCCCAGGCTGGGCTTGATCTTTCGATCCTCCTTCCTTAGCTTCCCAGAGTGCTGGGAATATAGGTGTGGGCAACTCTGCCCAGGTGATAGCTTTTTTTTTTTTTGGTCTTTTTGAGAATGGATGTCACTATGCAATTCAGGCTGCCCTCGAACTCACAGTGATCCTGCTTCAGCCTCCTGTGTTGGGATTACAGGCATGGCAGCTTGCCCAGGTGAGTTAATACTTACAATAATAAAAAAAAAAAAGTCAACTCAGTGCCAGTGACTCCTGTGTTGGGCAGATTCCCACTGCCGCCCACACCCACCACCTACCACAGGCTGGCTGGGGGCCTTCCCGGGACACTGACCGCCCTAGGCTTTCTCTGCTATCCCAGCACGCGTCATCTAGATTATGCCTGTGTATCTGGGTGGCGGCACATGACTGGAGACCGGCACTCTGGCCAGGATTGCAAGGCTGAGCCCAGCCTGGGCCATTTAGCAAGACCCTGTCTAAAAATTAAAGAATGAGCCAGGCACGGTGGTGCACGCCTGTAATCCCAGCCCTTGGGAGGCTGAGGCAGGAGGATCGTTGTGAGTTCGAGACCAGCCTGGGCTACAAAGTGAGCTCAAGGCCAGCTTGAACTGCATAGTGAGACCGTCTCAAAAAGACAAAAAAAACCCCAAACTATGTAAAAATAAGAATGAGAGTGGAGCTCAGTGGTAGGAAGCCCACAGCCCTGGCTTCCATCTCCAGGATGGGGGAGGTGGGGCGGGATTTTCTGCGTGTGAGGTGCTGGGGATGAACTCAGGGCCTCAACTTTGGACAAATCCTCAGCCCTCTCTCTGGAGCTGGGGGCTCAGCATTTTATTTCTTCTCCATTTCCTCCCATCCCCAAACCCTTGATAAAACCCTCAATCCTCAGCTCCCATCTGTCCCTGCTTGAGCCTCCAGTGCCCTGTGTCCCTTGTTCTGTGGCAGAGGTTATGGGTTTCCTGACCCAGGGTTGGGGCCTGTTGAGCTGGGTCTCCCTGTTTTCTGGGATTCTGGCTGTGCCTGGCCAGGACTTGGGACACAGGGCTCAAGGATTTTTTGAGACAAGGTCTCACTATGGAGCCCAGGCTGATCTCAAACTAACAGTGATTCTCCTGTCTCAGCCTCCTGGATGCTGGGATTACAAGCATGTGCCACCACACTGGGCATGGCCACAAGGTTTGATCACATGGGGCTTGACAGGTGTCACTATCCTTTCTCAGCTTTAGTCTCATCTTGAAACTGGGGTGAGAGCCGGGCATAGTGGCTCATGCCTGTAATCCCAGCACTCAGGAGGCTGAGGCAGGAGGATCCTTGTGAGTTTGAGGGCAGCCTGGGCTGCATAGTGAGACCTTGTGTCAATAAGACAAAAAAAGAAACTGGGTTGAGGTGGTAGAGTCCCTTCCTCCATGTTTCTCACATCTCTTGCCCCTTCCATCTTATCTATCATTAGAGAGGGGCCCAGGCCTGGAAGCTCACCTGTTCATTTGATTTCCTTTGGCCAATGACACCAGAGGGGAAGTGACAGGAGGCTGAGCAGGCTGGGTGATGGTGGATGATACACCAATGGGGTTTCTGCTATGACCTGTGTCCCCTCAAAGTTCACGTGCTGCCAGTTTAATCTGCAAGTTGGTAGTGAACAGGATTTGGCGGTGGGTGGGGCATTTGGGAGGCAAGTGGTCTTGAGTGCATTCGCTCATGCATTAATGGTGTCACAGGCTGGGGAGGAAGTGGCTTTGGTATAAAAGTGCGCTCTCAGCTGGGTGTGGTGGCGCATGCCTGTTACCTTCAGCATTAGGGAGGCTGAGGCAGGAGGACTGCTGCAAGTTCAAGGCTAGCCTGGGCTACACAGTGAGACTGTTTCACAAAACCCAACACAGAGGTAGGAGATGGGTGGGCCCAGGCGGTTCCGGAGAGGCACTTGGCCTTGTAGACCTCTCAGCTTAGCTCAGCAAGATTCATTCGGAAGCTGAGCTCCAGGAGTGTAGGACAACGCTGTCACGCTGTTTTCTTTACACTCTCTGTGGGCAGTTGGGGGAGCAGCGACAGGAAACACGGGCACAGCAGAGCCTGTGGTCGGTGGTCGCATGGGATGGCTGACTGTCCTGGGCGAGCTGCCCTGGCCAGACGTGACCGGGCCGGCCAATCAGGGACCACTGCGGCCAGGGGAACGGGCCCTTCCTCCCCTCCTCGGCTGTGACTGGCAACAGGATTAATGGATGAAAGGCCCGCGGCAGCGCACAAAACCAAGCTCAGTAGGAGGAGCCTAGCGCCTTCCAGGGACTTCCCTGCAGCCTGCCTGCTGCTCTCCTCAGAATGCCCTGGGTGGGGGCTCTCAGAGTCCTCTTTATCTGTCTCACAAACGCAGTGTTGTCCCGGAGCCGCCCACTGGGTTGCTGAATCCGGGAGCTAAAGGGCTTCGTAAAGGTCAGAAGTCATTGCCCCCCGCCTTGCCCTCTAAGCATGTCCAGGCTTGGTCAGACAGTTTATTGCAGGACACAGGACCACGAGGGAAGTTCCAGGTGCCTGGCATCTGCCGGGGTCCGTCTCTGCTCCATGGAACGGGAGCGGTGGCACTGGGCATCAGTCCCCCATAGGTAGCCACAGGGCCTTGGTTCGTGCTGCCCGCAGCCCCAGCTCTGGGCCTGCCCCCTGGGGCTCCTGATCCCAAGCCCGCAGATGGCCCCTGTTCACCCACACGGGCTTGAGGTTCCCTGCCGAGGCCCATTCCACGAACTGGGAGCCCTGGGGTGGGGAGAGGGAGGGGTTAGTGCTGTCCCAAGCTGGTCTGCTAAGCAGCTGCTTTCTTAGCAACAGGGCTATGAGAGGAGAGATATGGCTTGACCTCCCTGGATGCTGCACTCGTAGCTACCAACCCTTCCAGATGCTGGGGGGAAAGAGGTGACCTTGCGGCTAGGGAATTTCCTCCCCATTAACATCCGCATCCATGGGACTGGGGCCCAGGGTACTGGTCAACCGGGAGTCGCCAGCTGTTACCAATAGAAGATGTAAGGGGGCCAACTTTGGGTTCCAACTGTTGCTAGGGTGTGGTCCTTAGCAACAAGGCATCCAATGAGATTAGGGGTTTCGATTGGGCAACTCATTGCTAAGGAGATCCCCTTCCTTAGCAACTGGGGTTGTACAGGGGCAAGACCTTGGAACCTGTCGCTACACACTTTCCCCTTTAGCATCAGGAGCTGGGAGGGGGACACAGTCGGTGAACATTAAGCCCTGAGAACGGGGAGACAAAGCGGACCTTGGTGGATCCGAAGTACCACAGCGCCTGGACGTCCTGGTGCAAGGCCAGGCAGCGCGTCAGGTGGTCGCAGTCTCCTGTCACCACGTTCACCAGGCCCGCGGGGAACAGGGAGGCCACATCCTGGGGGTGAGAGGGAGAGCGTCGGGGCCGGGCTGCGAGGCTCCCGGAAGGACCAGGGCGGGGGCCATACACTGATGTAGCCTGGGGTGGGAAGCTGGGACTCAGGTTACCATGGTTACCAAGGAGGGTGGCCACACCTTTCATGCTTCCCCAGGGGCTGCCGGGAGCAGGAGCAGCAGCAGGCAGATGACTGTACCTGGCACACCTCCAGGGCCGGCAGGGGACAGGTCCTGCTGGGCACCAAGACCACAGCGTTGCCGTGTGCCAGGGCGGGGGCCAGCAGGGACACGAAGGCAAGCAGCGGCCACTCGTCAGGGCACACGATTGCCAGCACGCCCAGTGGTTCCCGAAGCCGCAGCACGGGGCCTCTGAGCCCTGCTACCTGCAGGGGCACATGGCAGGTCAGGGGCCAGGCAGGGCAGCCTGAGCGCCCTTCGCACCTTCTCCATCACCTTCCCCTTTCTCATCTTTGTTTCTTCCCAAGTCCAATAACAAATGCTCAAAAGCCAGCATGGTGGCACAGGCCTGTAATTCCAGCCCTTGGGAGGCTGAGGCAGGAAGGTCTGTTATTTATTTATTTATTTATTTATTTATTTATTTATTCATTCATTCCGGTACTGGGAATTGAACTCACGATCAGGCGCTGTGCCGCTGAGCTAAATCCCTAGCCCCAGGAAGGTCTTTTTTAAAAACTTATTTTTATTTTTAGGAGGACCACTTGGAGTTTCAGGTGAGTTCAAGGCCAACCTGAACTACACAGGGAGACACTGTCTCAAAAAAAAACGAAAAGAAAAATAAGCATTTGGTTGCTAAGCAGCTGAATGTAACTGACATTCATTAAGCCACACTTTTTTTTTTGAGACGGGGTCTTGGTACATCATTCAGACTGGCTTTGAACTCACCATATAGTCCAGGCTGTCCTCAAACTAATGGTGAGCCTCCTGCCTCAGCTTCCCAAGTGTTGGGACTACAAGTGTGTGCCACCACACTCGGCTGTGTGTTTGTTTGAGACAGGGTCTTGCTGTGTGGTGCACGCTGGCCTTGAACTCAGTGTAGCCCAGGCTGGCCTCGAACTCCTATCGCTTGTCTCGGCCTTGAGAGTGATAGGATTATAGACCTGCGCCGCCACACCCGGCTCTGACTTACTTTCTTGTTAAAAACAAAAACCTATCGCAGTTACGTGCACTGAATAGGTCTAACTGCCCAGTAAAGGAGCAGTAACCCAACCTGGAAAAACCCCGCTGTAGAAGGTGCGCCGTCTGCCTGTTACAGACAGGAAACTGAGTGCAGAGAAAGTGGGGCTCTCGCCGTTCACTGGGCAGCTGGTCACCACAGGGGCTCGGCGTGAGCCAGGCTTGGGCCCAGACCCCAAGCCTGGCTCACGCCGAGCCCCTGTGGTGACCCTGCCTGGCTGCCCGCTCTGTGCACGCCCAGAGCCCGCTCACCTGCAGGGTGTGGCCCTGGGCCTGGGCTCGGGCCCCCCACAGCCGGAGCCGCCTGGCGCTGAGCTCCACCTCCGCCTTGGCAGCCTCCAGCTCCACTCCGTGCCGCTGCAGCCTCGAGGCCAGGCCGGGCCCCCTGCGTTCCAGCGCAGCCGCCAGCGCCACTAGCAGGGCCGCCCGCGCCCCCGCGGACTGCCGCTCCCAGCTGCGGGCATGGGCACACTGGGGTGGCCCCGGTCCTGGTTCCCAGGTGCGCACCCCCGCCCAGCCCCTCCCCTAGGGGTCCAGGCTCAGAGCACGCCAGCCGTTGGGGTTCCCTGCCACCCTCTGTGCTCTCTGCGACCCGGGGTGTCCCCTCTCACCCAGTGGCAGCCTGGTGAGCGGCCTCCACGGCGCCTCGAATGTCCTTGGCTCCACCCTCAGCCACGTAGCCATGCAGGCTGCCAGAGGAGTCCCAGACGGGCCTGGAGCTCCCGGCCCCAGGAGGCTGGAATCGGCCCCCCACGAAGAGCCCATAGGGGGGCACTGGGCTGAACGAGGGTGAGGCGTGAGGGGCCTGTGTTCCACCCACGGCAGAGACTCCTTCAGCTCTGATGAAGCCCTGCAGAATCCCCAAATCCCGCTCCCACGTGCCTCTGGGGGACCCCAAACGCTGTTCCCATGAGCGCCCAGGGAACCCCAAGCCCCGGGTCCTGTGAGCTTCTGGGGGACCAGGCTTCTTTGAAGCAGGCAAGGCGTGGGGTGCGCGAGGTGCTAAGACCGACCATGCAGTCCTCAGCAGGACCCAGGGACCCCATAATGGCCCTAGCAAGCCTCCCCTCGGCCCTTCTGTCCTTGGGGGAGCCTGACACGGCCTCCCCTGCCACCCTCAGACCACCTGGCACTGAAACAGCTCACCTGGGCCCTGTTTCAGGCCCTGCTGGCAGGGCCGCGGGTACAGCAAGCCCGAAGCTGTCATAGTTCAGATGCTCGTAAACGAAGGGCAGCCGGTCCTCGGTCCCCGAGGCCCGCAGGTACTCATACAGACCCTGCGAGGGGTTGTGTCAGTGAGATACAAGGTGACGCAGGTGGGAGCAGGTGGCACGGGGACGCAGGGGCGGTGACGGGGGCACTCACGTCCAGGCCCCCGTGCCAGGAAGACCCGCTCTCCTTGCAGCCACCCACGGGCACCGCAGGGTCTCTGAGGCCATGGGTGTTGACCCATACTGTGCCCACCCGGAGCCTGCGGCGGCGGGATGGAGAAGTCAGAGAGAACAACAGGAAGCTGGGTGCTGAGCCAGGAAGGGGAAGGGAGGCCGCCAGGGAAGGGGACGGAACTGGGGGAAAGGGGCGGCCAGGCTGCCCCCCACTGCCCAGCAGGGCCCACAGACCCGTAGCCCAGCTCCAGCGCCTGCCCCAGCCTCTCACTCCACACGCTGGAGCTGCCTCCCCGGGGTGTGCTGTTGGCTACCGCCAGCGCCTCCTTGGCTGTGCGGAAAGGGGAGGCCACGACCAGGGGCCACGGCACCTGCAAAGGAGGTCAGGGCGCTCAGGTGGCGTGGTGAGCCCCCATCTTCCAAAATCCCACCCGTGGGGCTATAGCTCAGCGGCACAAGCACCTGCCTGCCAAAATCCCACCCACTAGGGGACAGGCTTATGGGAGTCAGCAGTCCCAGACCCAGGTGACACGGGCACGCAGGGACCCACGGTGGGCTGATGGAGGGAGGTCGGGGGGGGGGGGGAGACCAGATCGCTGGGATCCTGGGGGCTCACTTCTGCCTGGGCACACGGTGATGCGGGGGGCAGACCAGAGACCAAAGTTGGGGGATAGAACGGGCTGGCCGAGGGCACAGGGTCAGCCTGGAACACCTGGGGAGACAGAGAAACGGAGAAGTGTTCCCACACGGCGCTCCCCCCGCAGGCCAGGCGCCTCCACCAGGCTCAGCTGCGGCCGGGACACACCTGTGCGCCCTGGCTCTGGGCCTCCTGCACGTAGCGCCGGGCCGCGGCACAGGCCGCAGCCCCTCGGGTGCCCATGTCCACAGCCCCGTCCAGGCCTCGGCCGCTCCGCAGCTTCCCCATCCTTCTCTGGAGTCGCCTCATCGTTTCCTCCCACACAGACTCCTGGACCAGGAGCCGGAGGCCTCCCTGTGAAGAATGGGCACCAAGCGGCCGAGGTCAGGCCAGCAGGGGTGACACATCCCCAGGGGGCGCTGGGGCAGGGACAGAGGGGAGCGGCAAGAAACAAACCCACGTGAGGGGCCCAGTGCGGAAAGGTGGGGCACAAAGGCGGAGGCTGTCAGACCAGGGACAGGGACACTGAGAAATGAAGAGTCCTAAGGACCAGGGACATGGAGCCTGAGGTGGCCTGAGACAGGACAGCCAGTCACGGAGATTCAGAAACGAGTGAGGAGCCGATCACACAGGGTGTAGACTGAGCTTTAAGACCCAAAGAACTGGATATCATGAAAGGAGTCGTAAGACCCCAAGGTCTGCGGAGACCTGACACCCCCAACATGCTGGGGACTCCAGTGCGCATGTCTCACCGGGCTGCGGTCAGACCAGGCTGCATCCACAACGCCCTCCACGGCCGAGTCCACGTCGGCCGAGTCCATGAGCAGCAGCAGCGACTCCATGCCCAGCGCCAGGCTCAGCTCCAGCCTCTGGCCTGCCAGACTCTGCCGCAGGACGCGCGCTTCCTGAGGGACCCACAGGGCTCAGCGGCGCAGGAGCCGCCTGGCCCAGCCCCGTCCACCCCGCCTGGGCCCTGAGGGTACCTCCACGGCTCCGCAGAAGGCCACCTTGTGCACCCCAGGACAGCGGCCCACAGTGTCCCCCAGGGAGGCAGGGCCAATGAGCACATTGAGGATCCCGCAGAAGGCGCCGAGCTCCCCTGCCAGCTGGGCCAGGAGGAGAGGGGTTGGGGAGGCCGGGGGCACAACGGCCACGACGGTACAGCCTAGGGAAGGGGGACAACTCAAGGATCCGGAGGCCCAGGCCCAGTCTCCTCCCTCAGACTCGGGACCCGGGACCAGACCCGGGTTCTGGGCCTCCAATCTCCTCCTGTTCGAGATCCAACAGTCAGGACCCCAACCCATCGTTTACCCACTGCCAAGGCAGGACAAATCCTCCACATCATCTCCAGGAAGGAGAACGTGGGTGGTAAGATGAGGCCAACAACTCCTGCAAGGGAGGAATGAGGGAAATGGGGCCACCACACTGGATTCTGAAAGAGGGGGCTGGGGCTGGGGCTGGGCCTCAGGACCTTACCCATGGGCTCCCAGCCTGCCAGGGCCTCCTCTTGGTCATGGACCTGGACTGCATGGTGCTGGAGCAGCTGCTGGGCCAGTGGGACGTCCCCGTCTCGAACCTCCCGAACGGCCCGCCCAGTGACCAGGGAATCTAGAGTCCACAGCAGCCGCTGGTGCTTCTGGATCATCTTGGCCAGCCTATGGAGAAAGCAAGGGGATTGGGTGTTTCTAGGGTGACCAGGACTACAATCCCCATCAGCACCTGGGGTACCCCTACATCTTAGCAGGAGCACAGGGCACCAAAGATTTATGGGAAATGTAGTCTGGGAAATTCTCAAACCCTGGGGGTGCTGTGTAAGTGTCTTGGCCATCAGTAATCTCCACCCTAACCAGATAGCCAGAACTTGAGTCTTTTTTTTTTGAGACAGGGTCTTGCTATGCAGTTCAGGCTGGCTTTGAGCTCACTTTGTAGCCCAGGCTGGTCTTGAACTCACAAGGACTCCCCTGCCTCGGCCTGGGATTATAGGCTCGCACCACCACATCCGGCTAGAACTTGAGTCTTGACCTAATCTCAAGTGTATTTTGGGAAATGGAATCTTTGTCCCTAGTGGTCTCCAAAGTGTGCTGGAGAACAGCTTTTGGGGTACACTAACCCTTTTGAGCCCCAAGGGATTTTAAGAAACAGACGCTTTTTCATTTCCTGTCTCAGAGAATCATGGGAGTGGGCATGGTGGCGCACGCTTGTAATCCCAGCACTTGGGAAGCTGAGGCAGGAGGATAGTTGCGTTGCGAGTTTGAGACCAGCCTGGGCTACAAAGTGAGCCCAAGGCCAGCCTAAACTGCATATCGAGACCCTGTCTCAAAATGATAAAAAAAAAAAATTAAATTAAGAAAAAACCCAATCAGAGAATCATGGGAAATGAGTGTTCTAAACACCAATACCCCAGATGCATGCTGAGAATATGAGACATGGCTGCCAATTAATTCAGTGGTTTATGGGCCACATCCTGGGGCCATACTTCTCCTTCATCACCTGGTCAGGTGCTGGGCTCGGCTGCCTCCGGGCACTCCGCTCCAGCTTCCCAGTGCATCCAAAGCCGCCTTCACTGCTGCAGCCACATCCTCAGGCTCTGCCAGGAGGCAACTGGCCAAATTCTCTCCTGCAGAGAAAAATGGGGGCACCCAGGAGGGACAAGAAATGGGGTACGATTCCCAGAGCTCGCTAGTGCCCAGAGGCAGGAAGGCTGGTCCCCAGCTCCTCCATTTGTGCCTGGTCATCCCAGAAGCCTCAGCGTCCCCCTGACCACTGGCCTCTCCCCGCCCCAGGGCACCACCAGCCAAGGGAATGCAGTGGGCACAGCTGGAAGGCACTGATGACCCTCCCCTGATGCTGGGGGACATCTTGTACCTGTGATGGGGTCCTGGGGGACATCTTGTACCTGTGATGGGGTCCTGGCATGGCACACAATTCCTGTGTTCTGGCTTCAGCCACTTCCCATTCACGTAGTGGCCCAAGAGGCGGTCTTGGGTGTCCAGCCAGGCCTGGGGGAGGGGACAGTTTGGAAAAGGGCCTGTGACACAGCTGTCACAGCTCAGTCCCTGTCCAGAGTCTTCTTGGGGGAGACACTTGTACCCCTTCACTGCATCAGCTAATTCTTTCTTTTTTTTTAGGCACCAGCCATTGAACCCAGGGCCCCCTGCTCCACGAGTGAGCTACACTCCAGTCTCCCTGGGGTCTTCTTCAGTGTAGTAAAGTTCACTATTCCAATCATTTTAAAGAGTACAAGCCGGGCATGGTGGCTCATGCCAGTAATCCCAGCACTCAGGAGGCTGAGGCAGGAGGATCATTGTGAGTTCGAGACCAGCCTGGGCTACAAAGAGAGCTCAAGGCCAGCCTGAACTGCACAGCGAGATCCTGTCTCAAAAAGACAAGAAGAAAAAAAACATGATCAGATAATGTGCTTTTTTTGTGACTGCCTTCTTTGTTTCTTTCTTTCTTTTTTTTTTTGGTCTTTTTGAGACAGGGTCTCGCTATGCAGTTTAGGCTGGCCTTGAGCTCACTTTGTAGTCCAGGCTGGTCTTGAACTCGCAACAATCCTCCTGCTTCAGCCTCCTAAGTGCTGGGATTACAGGCGTGCGCCACCATGCCCGGCTTGCCTTCTTTCACTTAACATGTTTTCTAGGTGTCTCTGTGTTGCAGAACATATATTAAGACTTCATTTTTTTTTTCTTTCTTCCAGTATTGATCAAATCTAGGGGCACTCTACTGTTAGGCTGCATCCTTAAGCTTTACTTTTATTTTATTAAGTTTTAAAATAGGGTCTTGCTAAATTGCCCAGGCTGGCCTGGACATTTCCATTCTCCTGCCTCAGCTTCCTAAGTAGTTGAGATCACAGACATGGGCCAAGGCAGCCAGCTTGTTCTTTCTTCCGGCAGAATACTGTTCTACTGTGCCCCATTCTGCTGTTGGTCCATGATATCTTGGCTGTGCTCCTGCAAGTTTGAATCTACAAAAGTCTGCCCACATTTATTTGTTTGTTTGTTTGTTTCCTCCTTTCTTTCTTTCCTTTTTTCTTTCTCTTTTTGAGACAGGGTCTCACTAGGTAGTTCAGGCTGGCCTTGAGCTCACTTTGTAGCCCAGGCTGGCCTCGAACTCACAATGATCCTCCTGCCCCAGCCTCCCAGGTGCTGGGATTACAGGCGTGTGCCACCACGCCTAGCACTATTGACTTTAACTTTTTTTTTTTTGAAAGTAGATTCTGGTTTTTTTTGTTTTTTTTTTTTCCTGCACTGGGAATTGAACTCATGACCTCATGCTTGCCAGGCAGGCGCTGTGCCGCTGAGCTAAATCCCCAGCCCCCTTTTTTGTCTTTTTGAGACACAGTCTTGCTATGCAGTTTCAGGCCGGCCTTGAGCTCACTTTGTAGCCTAGGCTGGTCTCGAACTCACAATGATTCTCCTGCCTCAGCCTCCCGAGTGCTGGGGTTACAGGTGTGTGCTGCCATGCATGGCTTCCCCTTCCCACCTCTGGTACTGGGAATTGAACTCACAACCTGGCACTTGCCAGGCAGGCGCTGTACCCCTGAGCTAAATCCCCAGCCCCTGTTTTTTTTTTTTTTTTTTTTTTTTTTTTTTTTTGAGAGGGTCTTGCTATGTAGTTCAGGTTGGTCTTGAACTCACTCTCTACTCTAGGCTGTCTCAAACTTGCAGTGATCCTCCTGCCTCAGCCTCCTGAATACTGGGATTACAGGCAGGCACTACTTCATTTGACTTTTTTTTTTTTTGGTACCAGGAATCAACTCATGACCTCTTACTTGCTAGGCAGGCGCTGTGCTGCTGAGCTATATCCCCAGCCCAACTTTTTTTTTGTAGTCTTGGGTGATATAGTCCATAGGGACAAAGGACAAACTAACTCTGGCACTTAACCTATTACTTATTAAAAGCATGATCTATGTTTTCTTCAGAGGCAGCCAGGGATTTAAAAATAGTGTTCTGGGGCTGGGGATATAGCTCAGTGGCATAAGCAACTGCTTGGCAAGTGCAAGGTTGTGAGTTCAGTCCCCAGTACCGCAAAAGAAAAAAAAAAAAAAATAATGTTTTGATAAAACCTTGAACTCTTCACTTGGACCTACAGATGTCCAATAGGTAACTCAAAGCAGCAAAAAGCTTGAACTCTATTTTGTCTCCTTTACTACTTTAAAGCTATGGATGTATGTATGTTCCTCACCCAGGATGAGTTTATTAGAACAAAGCTTATTAGCCCTTGCTTTACCTAGCCCACTTCCTTCTCTCCCTCTTGCTTGTTTTCCGATTCAAGCTTTTTCCTGTAAACTGATCTGTTGCTTTAGCCTTAATTTCCATTTCTACTGAAGCAAGGATCCATGACGGCCAGTAACATGGGAACTCAAACCTAGGACTTAATCCAAGCTAAGTGCTCTACTATGGAACTACATTCCCAACACTCTTCTAAAAACAATTTTTTTTTTGGGTCTTTTTTGAGACAGGGTCTTGCTATGCAATTCAGGCTGGCCTTGAGCTCACTCTGTAGCCCAGGCTGGTCTCGAACTCGCAACTATCCTCTTGCCTCAGCCTCTCAAGTGCTGGGATGACAGGCATGTGCCACCACGCCTGGCTAAAAATTTTTATTTTGAGAATCATGCTCAGTTGCTCAGGCTGAGCTCTTCAGCTTGAATTTGAGATCTTCCTGGTTCAGCCTCCTGAGTAGCTGGTATTACAGGTGTGCCTGCCTCTATTGACATTTTTCTTTTTCTTTTTTTTTGGTCTTCTTGAGACAGGGTCTTGCTATGCTGTTCAGGGTGGCCTTCAGTTCACTTTATAGCCCAGGCACAACAATCCTCCTGCCTCAGCCTCCCGAGTGCTGGGATTACAGGAACCTGGTGACTTTTTCTCTCATACTGGAGTTTGAATTTGTAATGGAGGGCCAGGGGTATAGCTCAGCAGCACAACTGCCTGTCTGGCAAGCGCAAGGTTCTGAGTTTGAGTCCCAGTACCAAAAAAGAAAACCAAACAAACGAATTTGTAATAAGTTCTTCATACTACTATATGTTCCAGCCCCACCCCTTTAGTTTTTTTGAGACAGGGAATGTAGTTCAGGCTGGCTTTGAACTATGAACTACTCATGTAGCCCAGGCCTGCTTCAAATTTTAGATGATCTTCCTGCCTCAGCCTCTTGAGTGCTGGGATGACAGACATGCCCACCCTCCCCCACCCCACCCCCGTTTTATTTTGAGGCCGGGTCTTGCCAAGTAGCTCAGACTGGGACTGAATTTGGAACCCTCCTGCTTCAGCTTCCCAGAGTACTGGGCATATAAGCATTTACCACCGCACACAGCTTCTGTTGACTTTTACACATGAAGAACTTGAACAAAGGATTAGTAAAACCTTTTTTCCTCCATAAAGAAATGAACTCTGGCTCACTTTCTGTTTCCCTGGAAACCTTACATAACTCGGCTGTTACTAGGCGACATTGACCCCAGACTGGTCCACAGGACCTACACTGCGAGGACTGGGAATGTACCACAATTATCCAGCAGGAAGTCAGAGAGCTGGTGCTTCCTGGAGTATTTTGCACCCTTATAACTGGGCGACCCTGGCCGGTACCCTAAGGAGATGCTCAGGACACCAGGTGCCCATCTCCGGGATGTGGGATTTCCAGAGCTGGGGCCCTACATTTGCCCACCTAACCTTGCTCCCTCATCTCAGCCATTACTACAGGCAGATAGAGGCCTGACTCTGCCTGGCCCGGAGCAGCCCATTTGGCTGTGAGGCTTACTGGCCTGGGCGTGGTGCCCATGAGTCACAGTGAGACAGCCCCAGGGGCATCCCTGGAGTTAGGGCACGCAGCCGGGGTTGAATCCTATCTTTGGTACTCACCTCATATGGAACCGGAGCCAGGAGCTTCTTTTTAAAAATTATTATTATTGTTATTATCATCAGTTTGGGTTGATTTGATACAAGGTCTTGCTATGTAGTTCAGGCTGGCCTCAGAATGACAGTGATTCTCCTGCCTCAGCCTCCCAAGTGCTGGGATTACAGGCCAATGCCACCACGCCTGGCTCAGGCCAGGGGTTTCTCTTACTTTTTGCCTCTGTTAAGCCATCTGCTGCATGGCTAATCACAGTCCCCTGCTGCAGGGATGCGGCGAGGATGACATGAATCAGTGTGTGTTCTGTGCCCAGAACAATTCTACTTCCGGTGCTTGCTGCTACTTTTACTGTGTCTTATCCTCTACATATGTTCCGGGTTTCCTTCTTTCCCTGTCCTATTTTCCTCGTTTTCCTCAGCAGCTTTCTGCTTTTCCTCTTACCCTGAAAGCTGGCCCTTATTTCTCTTTAAAATAAAATGGTTGGCCGGGCATGGTGGTGCACACCTGTAGTCCCAGCACTTGGGAGGCTGAGGCAGGAGGATCCTTGTGAGTTTGAGGCCAGCCTGGGCTATGAAGTGAGCTCAAGGCCAGCCTGAACTGCATAGAAAGACCTTGTCTCAAAAAGACCAAAAAACCCCCAATAAAACAAAATGGTCATCTAGAAGTCCCAAACCCAAAAGTGCAGATGGAAAGAGCCATTTTTTCCATAGTCAGGGACATGTAACGATAAACTGGGGATGAGATATTGAAGAATGCCTATTATGTCATACTTGGGACCCCAGCACTCGGGGAGGCTGAGGCAGGAAGATTCCAAGTTCGAGCTCAGCTTGGACAAATCAGTCAGACTCTCAAAAAAAAAAAAGCGGGGGGGG